TTTATGCAACAAATGCCTGTTTTACGAAAAGTGGGCTACGAAGAATTTCTCGTCCTATAAATGTTCAGCTGAATTGCGTTTCGAATAAAAGTGCGTGATGAAGAGCTTCAAAGATAGAGCCAACCAGAAGACGACGGACAGCATTGGAACATATTATCATTTGATAAGAATATATATATCCTATATCTATGCTTTTAATTATGCATATTTATATACAAGAGTGGTATTCATCCTATTTCGTTTAAGTTGATGAAGGAATGGTAGTCGAATTTTTCTCACTAATTTAGACGAGTAGGCTGAATGCCTCCATTGAGGGTAATGAAGAGCTCTAGGCGAGGACAAAACTTCAATCCACTCCAGTCAGGATGAGCACACCTATTGGAAAGCAAGGCTGTGTGAAATTAAGTTAAGGCATGAGACCTACTCATATTATTGTGGAAAAGTCAAATACCAGTCCTTCGCAACCTTTAAGAAAATAGGGTGAAAACATCTCTTATATGTGTATAAAAATAATCGAAATGCTTAGACTTGGGATACAGATACAGAATTAATGGATGAACCGGTTATAAGAATTAAATTCCGTTTATTAGTAGGTTTTCGAGACTACTAGAAGATCATATATTTGAGGTGTATTCATCATATTTTGTTTAAGGTGTAAGGGAAGTGGCCGTTGAATTTTTCCACAATCGGTTGAGCAGACGTCACGCTTCCGTTGCATTTCACATAGCCCTGCTTCCCAAAAGGTATCCTCATCCAGAGTGGACTGCAGTTTCGACCTCGCCCAGGTCTCATCAGCACCCCTAGCGGGACTCTAATAATGTAGAAAATAAGGCGCCAAACAAGTAGGCCTCAAAACAGCAGTCCATTCTGGATGAGAAAGTATGTGGGAAATCCAATGGAAATGTAAGTGAAAACTCGACTACCAGTCTCTTTATCACCTCAACTGAAATATAGTGAATAGATCTGGCATATAAGAATAATACTCTGCTCAGGTTATCAGGTTATTTTCAGGTTATTTTCCATCTCGGGGATATCGTCAACCAGAATGCTCCAGTAAAGCCAATCGCAAGCTGTCCGATGGGATCTACCTGAAAATCTCTTCTTCGCACACACTTTCACTCGAAATGAAATTGAGCTAAGCAAATTTGTGCACTGATAGATCATCAAGAATGCCCCATGGAGTTCATGATTGAAGTTCCCATCCTGAATTGAGTATAAATTCTGTTGCTACCTAGTGACTTGCTAAATAGTATTACTGCCGCCTATAAAGTTTTGACACATCTACACAAGCTTCACTATAAACTGTGAAGTGGCATGCCTTGAAACCCGCTGGACTGCATCCATGATGAGTGGGAAGCCGACATTTCAGCGTCGCTGACCATCTCTGGCCCTTAAACACGCTACCGTGGCAATAACCAGACCTGTCGACGTCTAGACAACGAATGACGACTCCAATCACGATCTCCCGGATGGCTAATTCGTCGTTGTTTTGCTACCGGCATTGCATACAATGAATGGACGTTGATACAAAGAAATGGGATTGACATAAAAATGAAGATGATTCTGCTGTCTTTCCTAGAGTGTGGCTAGGAGGCTTGGCTGGTTGAGGGCTGTGTACTGAGCCAGGGATCCACAATCAAGTGAAGGAGTATCCTCTGTCCTCCTCCCATTTGGCGCAGCGATTTCACAAAGACACACTTTGCCGGCAAAATCTTAGCAACACTTTTCCTGACAAGGCTCTAGTCCTTAATTTTTCGTATTTTGAGTAGTCACTAAGCCTAGGCTTAGGCATCTAGTCCCTCATGTAGGCGTCGGCAGGTACCCCACGAGTTTACGTCTTGTTGTCAGATCTCAGACTATCTTGCCAACAAAACCTGGTCTTGTGTGTCCTTTACTGAATCACTGAATTGTTTATCTTTATTTACCGCTCACACACGATGCAGCTTCGGACTACTTGTCCTTCTTGGCCTATCCCCCCGGTTGCTATAGCAAGCAGACAGCGTGAAGGGTGCAAGGGTAGTTAGCACTGCACAACTGGGCCGGCTTCATGATTTCGAGTAACCCAGCAAAGCTTATGCCATTTCCACAACGAGACGGAAGACTAAGTGATCGTAGAAACAGTCGGTCAGCATCGCACTCAGTCCACGCCAAAAGAGCAAGGAAGAGAGAGAGAGAGAGAGGGAGAGAGAGAGAGAGGGAAAAAGAAAGAGAGGGAGATGTACTGCGTCGGCATCTCGTGTCAGGATCAAGTCGCTCTTGTGCTGCTGCTGTGTTTGTGTGTGTACGTCGAGTCCAGTAGGACAAACGGACAATGCTCATAAGCTCAGTTGGTGGTCGTCATCGTGACCACGAGATCAGCATGAATTTCGACAATCAGGATTGGCGGTACCAACGGCCGAATGCAGGGACAGCTTGGTCGTTGTCATGTCAAAACATGTTGCCCATCTTGTTGGGGTCTGATAGTTTTTGGAAGGCCTGGACCCCTTAGACCAGTTAGAACGAGAACAGGTGCTTTCTTGCCTCCGTGAGCCTAAAAAGAGAGCTGGTTTTGTACTTCTTACATACAGACAAGGCAATTTGACTCGTCTCGTTATGACAACCACGCCCGTTTTGAGGCATGAGGGTGTAGGGCAACCACACATGGCTTCGTGTAAAGAGTGGCTTTCGAGGCGAAGTAAAGCCAGCTACAGGATCCACGATCGTGGGGAAAAGGGATGGCAGGTTGCCGAGGCGAAAGGAGAGAAAAACCCGGAAACGGAAAGAAAAACCAAACCGAGAGGGTGATCCCGTCGTCACGAGTTGACGTTGTCGGTGGACACGGAGACTAACACTGATTCTGCGCCTCTCCGGTGCCGCGAGAACGCATACACTCGAGACGGATCGAGGAGACGATGTGGGAAATGCGAGTGAGAGACAACGAATTGAGTGCCAATTAATGGAATAGGACACGAAGGTAGTTTGAGTACTTACCGAGAGCTCATGCTGGTCTTGTTGGTCTTTCTGTCGAGGCAGAATAATTGTGCC